GCGGGAGCGAAGACTGCCGGTGCTCGCAAAGTGGCGGTGCTGTGCGGCCCGGCTGGCTCTGGCCGAGCCACAATTGCACGCCGGCTGCTGGAAGATTTTTCCGACAAGCTGGCAGCCGCGCCGCGCCTGACGGCGCGCTTGCCGCAGCCGCATGAGACCTCAGTGACAAGAGCGGTGGTGTCAGCCGCACACGGCTCCCTGACTGCAGCAGCTGGGTCGGAGGCAACCGCCGCGTCCTGCAGTACCAGCCTGCTACCAGTGGCACCGGGCATCCCTCCTCTGATCGGCGCTGACGCTGTCGGCTCTGAATTCCTCCGATTTGTATCAGAGAGGGATATCATACTGCTGCAAAAGTCAGGCGGCACCGCCGAGCAAGGGCGGCACCTGGGCGCAGCGTGCTGCACGCCTATGTGGGGCCTGGAGGCCGCATGGACCCAGGGCAAGGTGGCGGTGGTAGTGGGGCCGCTGGCCGTAGCAGAGAGGCTTAAGAACTTGCTGGGAGTGGAGGTGAGGACAGAAAGCAACGGGAATCTGAAAATTGGATTTGACGGCTGTTGTGAGGTCTATGTTGTAGCCAGGATGTTCAGAAGGCAGCCACGCGAATGCCAGGAGCTGCTTGTACACGGGCGCGCACGCGCGTGTGCATACACACACACACACACACACACACACACACACACACACACACACAAACACCATCACACATGCCTGTGCCCACTCACAAACACTGTGGCTCAGCCCTCCTCCATCCCTCGCCTCACAACATAACCGCCAACCACTCTGCCAGGTTACGGCTCTTTACGTCTCAGCAACGACCGAGGCCCTGGACCGCCGCATGCGTGCCGCCGGGCTGATGGATGAGTGGCAGTTGCAGGGCCGCCTGCAAGATGCAGCTGCACAACAGCTGCGGGTCGAGCAGCTGCTGGAAGATCAGGAGCAACGGCTGAAGGGGGAGGTGCAGAGGCGGGCAACGACAGCAATGAGCACCGCGCAAGCGGGGACCCCCCTGACTACCGGTGGCGGCGGTAGCGGCGGCGGGACTGGCAGCAGCATCCCGCCGCCGCCTTTGCAGACTGTAGCAATGAGGAGCTCGGCAGGTTCAGGTGCAGCGGGTTCAACGCCAGGGACGCCGCAGGGCAGGGGCTCTGCGTTGACTGCGGCTACGCCGAAAGGCGGCGTTGCAGGCGCAGCAGCTGGGAGGGCCGCGCTTGCCTCGGGGCCGCCGCCGCCAGGAGCTGACGCGTCGCCTTTGGAGCAGATTCCTGCAACGCGGCCGCTGCTGTCTATTGACGCAGTTGTAGACAACAGCGAGCTGCTGGAGCCCTGCTACAGCCACCTGAAGCACCTGCTGAGCAACATTTGGCCGCCGCGCGAGGCACACACGCCCGGCATGCTACTGATCCAGCGCCACGCAGCTGCAGGCTGTGCGAGGGCGGCAGCGCCTGAGATGATTGGAGATGGCGGCGTCCTGGAGGCGCCGCGGCAGCAAAACACGGTCCTGAGGCTGCAAAGCGTGACATCAGCAGCGGCATCCTTGCAGCTGCCGCGTGGGGAGCACCTGCTGCGAGTGGTGTGCAGCAATCTTCTGCTGCATGCAGTCGGCTTTGCGTGCGCCTCGGACTTTGAGATCCTCGACGACTCAGCCGGCGGCCTGCCCACCCAACCCTCACCAGCAGCTCCAGGGCTTGTGTTGGCAGGGACGGGACAGGGGCAGCAGCAGCCTGCGCAGTCACACCAACTGCTGCAATGCGGGGTTGTGCAGCAGGACGGCACGCACGATATCATCCGTGCGGGTGCAAGGCTGCTCTTGTTCCGCTCCTTGCTGAGCGCGACTGAGGCATGCAGTGTTTCTGTGAGCCTGAGGTGCAGCAGCGCAGCGTTGGCGGCTGCGGTGCGGCTGGTGGCGGTGGACAACGACACGGGGCAGGAGACGGCTGGACCGCTCAACTGCATTGAGGGACTGCGGGTGCGTCGATTTGCTTTTCTGCATGGACTGTGCTGCGATCACGCCCCGGATAAGTCACTGACTCTGCGGCCGTCAGCCTACGAACGTGCTCCCTCGACCTCTTTCAACCCAGCAACTTCTTTCAAACCTCGATCTTGCAGCTGGAGCCTCGAAGCCGCGACGGCAAGGGCGGAGTTATGCTGGTCGCGTTTGCACAAGCGCTGCGTGACATCCCACCCGGCACCTGGTCCCTCTCAGCCTCGTACACGCTGGGAGTGCGGCCGCCGTCGGCCAAGGCGGCCGCTGTCGGCTCCACGACGGCCGCAGGCAGCCCTGCGCCTTCCGCCAGCACACCAGCAGGCGGCCTGGCCGTTGGTGGCGGCATCAAGGCTCCGGCTGTGACGCTACAGGAGGTGCCTGCAGGAAGGGTGCTGAGCTGTGACGGCACATACACGCCCAACGCGCGTGGAGTGCTTGCAAGGTGAGGCGGCGTCTTGCACGTGGATTTCAGGGCTGGCAATGTGGCTGGGTGCCTCTCCTTGTCGGAGTCTTGACATGCCTCAACCAACATGTTGCATGGGCGCTTTGGTATACTGCACCGGCTGCTGCACACCACAAGGATAGCCATGCTTTGCGGCAGAGGGCATCACCAACAGAAAAAAAACACGTTTTCCCCCGCCAAAAAAACACAATTAGACACTACCCGCACAGGCACGCACACGCTTACACACCTTGACGCACATTGACCCTCTTTCAGGTACCTGCTGTCACCGACAGCTCCGACAAACATCTCGTTGGTGGCAACTGTCAGGGCCACTGCACCAGCGCCATCTGGCAGCGCCACCCACATCCGCACCAGTGGCTTTTCCGTTGCCAGCACCGCGGCAGCAGCGGGTTTCGGTGCACGCCTCAGGCTGCTGGACTTGCGGGCAGCAAAGGAGGTGGCATGGGTGACAGACTCGTACCCTGTGCTTGCAGAGGCAGCAGCGCCAGCCACAGCGCTAGAGGACAGCCAGGCTGGCGGGGGGGTTTTGGTGGTGCCCAGCTTTTTGTTGGCCCCAGGGCGCTACCTGACACTCCTGGATGTTGATCCAGGCGCACTGTCAAGCAGCAGCAGCATCAAGAACGTCGCTTTGACGGCGTGTGCGCGGGTCGCCGAGGCAGGCAGCTCGTCGGAGTGTTGCTCAGAGTTGCAGGTGTCTTGGCAGCTTGAGCTGTTGCCAGGCGCGGACGACAAGGTGGGCCCTGGCCAAGGGGCTTGTAGCCATGACTGTTTGCAGCGTTGCGATGAGTGTGCTGCTTGGTGAGAACCAAAACAGACGGAGGTCTGGGCGCCTGCACCAACCCACTCACTCTGTGCAATTGCAGGTGTGTCCGGTGACCAAAGATGATGCGTGGGAGCGCCACTTCAAGGCCCAGGTCGACAGCTGGCAGCAGCAGGCAGCAGCGGCAGCTGCAGCTGCAACTGCTGTGATGGGGCCGGTTGCACGGGCGGTGGTCAACCCAGGGACTGGCGGGGGTGCAAAGCAGCCTACACCATCACCACCTGGGACAGCGGGGGCCCTCAGGGACCGGTCAAAGCTGGCCGCAGCCGTGATGGAAAGACACCTGGCTGATAGCAGGCCTGGTGCCGCGAGCACGCCCACAGCAGAAGGTGTGTCGCCAAGGGTCGCAGCACTGCCGCTGGCAGCAGCGGCGGCGACGCTGGCAGCCCCAGCGACCCCCGCTCACGGCGCACGCCGCAAGGCATCCGCCGCAGGTGGCAGCTCTGCGGATCCAGCAGCTCCAGCAATCGGGTCAGCAGCTGCCGGTGGTGGAGAGGGAAGCAGCGAGGCCACCCTGCAAGGGCTGTCTAGACAGCTCAAGAGCCCAGGGGGTGCAGTCGCTACAGTTGTGCTCACCCCCGACGCCGCCGCCATGCGAATCCCTGCCGATGCCACGCCTGCGGGTGTTGAACACGTCTGGGCAGCAAGGGCCCTGCGGCAACAGCAGCCGGGTGCCCTGGACGCTTTAGAACGGCAGCTCGCACCCGTCTTGGTGAAAGCGACCAGCGAGCTGGGAATGCAGCCGGAGAATGCCAAAGGGGCGGCTGCGGCGACAGAGGAGAGGAGGGCAGAAGTCACCGCGTTGCAAGCACAGCAGGTGAGCTGCACTGAGCACGGTAATTGTCTTTGCCCAGCACCGAGGCTTTGCACGCTTGTGTTTATTGATGCCGCGCCTCACTACAGGCGAAGGGCAAGGCGCGTGCCTTCCTGTACCCAACCAAATATCTGTCACATGAATCATCTATCCCCCAACCATTGCTGGTGTTGTCAAAGATATAGCAGGCATACGAGCCGCACAAATCTCTTGACCACCTTGATTTTCTACCCAATATTCTGGCAACAGGCATCCCAGTTCACTGCGTGGCGTAGCGAGAAGCAGCTGGCTCAGCAGCAGGTGGCAATTGAAGCATTTGCAGAGGCGTTCACCAAGCAGCGGCAGCAGCAGCAGAAGCAGCAGCAGCAGCAGCAGCAGCAGCAGCATCACCAGACGCTGCACACCGAGCAGATGTCGGTCCAGGGGCCCCAGCAGGCAGAAGCTGCACCACGTGGCACGCCCCCGCCAGCGGTGGGAGCTGTGAAAGTGAGCGTGTCAGCAGCAGCACAGGCCATGGTTGGGGCACGCAAGTCAACCAAAACAGGATAGCTGGCGGTGCATTGTCCAAAAACACATTTGTAACGTTACAACAAACTTTCGCATGCTCAAGAAAACATGCAGGTGGTTGAAGCACATGTGGCACCAGTCTAAGAAATGCAATGAATGTGGAGGGTGAAAGCGCGACTTGATGACGTGGCGGTCTAATATGGATTGTATCGAGACTCTGTGCGGCTGCCGCGGCGACCCTGCTGCTGCCCGCCGCCACCTGATCGCTGGCTGCTGCCAGCCCCGGAAGGCCCATAGGCTGTTGGGGGTAGTCCGATTGGGGCGCGCAAAACAAGGGGTGCTGACGGCGCGGCAGCCGAGGGAGCGTACTGCTGCTGATACAGGGCCGCAGGCGGCTGCTGCAGCTGCTGGGCCTGGGGGGCCCAGGTGGGCAGCGATCCCAAGGGCGGCCCCGGGTGGAGCCCCAAGCCCTGGGGCGCCCCCGAGAGTGCGGGCTGCGTAACGCCCAGCTGCAGTGGCGCGGCACCCATGGGAGCCATGCCGGCCACGCCCCCCATCCCCATGCTCAGCCCGAGACCAACGCCAGTCGAAGCCATGGGCAGTGCGGCGCTGACGGCCCCCGCCACGGGGAGGTACTGCTGCGCCATGGCCAGGGGCGCGTGGTGCGGCTGCGGCGGCAGGGCAGGCTGAGAAGCCGCCAGCAGTGCCGGGGCCCCAGCGCCGTCGTACGCGCCCGCCACAGCGACTGGCGCCGCAGCCGCTGAGGGCGCCAGCGCGGTCGCAGCTGCGCCGCCCGCTGCCGCCGCACCCGTGCCCGCCGCGGGGCCTGGCACCTGCGTGCGGTTGCGGCGCGGGTACGAGGCGACCTGCACGCCGCCGCACACCAGCGCGTTGGGCCCCGGGAGGGGGGCCTCTGCTGTGAAGTAGTCGTGGCGCAGCGCGTCCTCCGCCGTGATGCGCTGCGCGGGGTCGATCTCCAGCATGCGGCGCAGCAGATCCAGCCCCGCGGGGCTGGGCCGGAATACGGCCGGCTCCGCGCGGCCGTGCGCGCGCTGCGCCTCTGCCTGCGCGTGAAGGACCTCCGCCAGGTGCTCCGCCAGGCGGGGCGCACCCCACTCCAGCCGCTTGGCTCGCACGTTCTCTGGTTGGGTGTGGCGTGTGTTGGGAGGGTGTTGGGGGCGATGCAGGACACTGATTGCTGCAATCACCCTGATGGCTATGAGGCACAACTCCTGGTCGAGCCTGTCACTATGCGCCACCGGCTGCTATAGTGGTCGTTGCACCCTGAAACCGATCAACCCTCAACACCCACCCGTATTGTCGTGCCAGTGCGGTAGGTGCTCCAGCAGTGGCCACGTCTTGGACGAGGGGTGGCCCAGTACACGAAAAATGCGGTCAATCTGGTCAAACTGAAAAGGGGCGCCGGCCTGCTTGCGCTCAGAACCCTGCAAGAGGGGTTAAGTGAAAAGCCTTGTGTGGAAATGGGACGGCCACAGGCACCATGTGTTGCAAGGGTATACGCGCCCCGTGCCTTGCTCTCTTTTGACACTTGGACGACCAAGCGTTTGTGGCTGCTGGCGTGAGGGCCCACCTGGAAGAGCGGCCGCAGTGTCATGAGCTCCGCAAAGATGCAGCCCGCCGCCCACATGTCCAGGGCACGCGTGTAGTGGCGCGCACCCAGCAGCAGCTCAGGCGCACGGTACCTGGGGGCAGCGGCAGGGCGCAGCGGGGTCGCCACCCGCAAGCCTTGGGCGTGTGGTGGCCCGAGAGTTGCAACGCACTGCCCCAGGGCATCACACTGTCCCAGGGCAAAGGGGACACCTCTGTACAAGGAGAGCGGCGACAGACTGATATGAGGTGGTGCGCAGCGGTCTCCAGGCGCACCAGATTGTGACGACCACGCCATTGTCGTACAGCGGACGCACCGGCGCCTGGAAGACCCGCGCCAGGCCAAAGTCTGGGCAGCAGGAGGGGGGAACAAAGAGCAGGGGTGTGGCGAGGGATGACAGTAGGATGACAGTAGGTTGGGTTGAACGCTGGGAATGCTGCGCGCGCGCCTGTGCGTCCCCACATCTCAGCATCCAACAACAACATGGACCCCGCTGGCCGGGGGCCTCACCTGCAATCTTGACGCAGCCGGGCTCTGGGCCCTCCCCGGTGACCAGCACGTTGGAGGGCTGCGGGCAGCAAGGTGTTCATGATTTCACGGGAGTGCGGAACGCAAGGGCCACACACACGACTTGAGGCATGCCAGTGCAAGCCTGCCATGCAGGGTGCAGGTCAAGGCACGCATACCGCCGCCATACTCCTACAGCAGCACCACCACCACCGCGATGTCCCAGCCACATCTAACCCCCACCCCACCCACCCCACCTTGAGGTCACGGTGTATGATCCAGTTCTGGTGCATGAAGGACAGCCCGTTGAGCAGCTGCCACAACAAACTCTTGACAGTGTAGGGATCCATGGGGGCTGGGGCAGCGGGAAAGATGAGGGGGGCGCCGACAAGTTGAGGGCCTGAAAAGGTTGCTATTAAGGTGAGACGTGATAGCCAGTTGTGCTTGTGCCCGACCGCAGTCCCAGCAACAGGGTGAGTCTTCCCCCCCTCCCCCTAAACCCTGCCCCCATGTACAACCTCACCCTGCAGCCTGTCCCTGTGGTGCCAGATCATCTCGTACATGTCGTGCTCAGCGTAGTCAAAGGCCAGGGAGATGCTGGCATCGGCGCGGTTGATGTGCACCGCCTCCAGCCGCACGATGTTGGGGTGACGCAGCTCACGCAACAAACCAATCTCGCGGATTGCAGTCGGGCTCACCCCGTCGCCCTCCTGCAATGGATACGGCAGGGGACAGACTTGACGAGACGCAGACAAGGAGGGACGGTTGCGTCGGCACAGGACGCATCGCAAACGGGCAGCACACTCACCACTACCACTCATGTGTGTGCCGCAGGGCCCAATTCCAAGCACCCCAGCCGTGCACTGCCACACGCCATTATGCTTGCAGCCAAACCTCCACCCTCCGCACAAGCACGCGGTTTAGTGCCGCAGCACCTCACTGACTCACACACTCACTCGCCACAATACCCTACTT